CTGGGGAAAACAGATGAAATTTTCTAGTTTTCCAGGTATTTATTTGTATGGAGACTTATTCTTCAGTTCATTCCATAAACATTTACTGGGTGCCTACTATAAGTCAGGCACTGTTCTAGGTGCTTGGACATGCAACAACAAAACAGACAAGATTCCTGCTTTTTTATAGTCTTTGTTCTAACTGTAGGATATAGATTATAAATGAACAAATAAACAATAAATATGAGGTAGTGCTAAGGGCCCCATATTATGAGAGTATTATCTGGTAGTAGCAAGTAACTGGTAGCTATACAAGGTGGCACCTCTGCATTATTAATACCATCTACTGGAGAGTGTGTGCTAGTCTGAAAAAAGTTTTAAAAGAAGAGGGAAATAACCAATCCAAACTAATACCTCTGAATAAACATTTTACAGACAGATGGCTACTTTTTACATACACAGAGGCACTGACTTAATCCACTGAATTCCTAACAAAAAATAACTAAAAAATAGCATCAGAACCTTAAGTTGCACATTACAGTCACCTTACTACTATTAAAAAATGTTTATGAGAAAACAAGAATTGTACACTATAATACAAAAATTGCTAAACCTTAATACAAGATATCTAGGGACATGCTACTTTAATATTTATACTCTCGATGACAGTTACAAAAGCTACTACATACAGTTTTAAGCCATTTTACTGTCAAATTCTCCTCCAACATGAAGTATAACTTTAGATAGAAAAGTATTCAGAGTATTCAACAACAACTAAATAAATGTCTGCAACGAACACAAGCAAGGGAAGATGAGAGAAAGAAATAGACACTAATTAGGCAGTCAACTGACTAGGAACAGAACAACTTAATTTTTAGAAAGGAGTTGGGAGAAGCAATACATAGGTCTACGCAGTACAACAATGTTGCAGCTCCAAAGTGCTGGACGTACTACTTGTTTCTCAGTTGCCACAAAAGTAATGGCTAAGTACCCATAATTTTTGTTCAGATGCCCAAAGCAACGTATCTCAAATAAGGTACTATGAGGACATATGCATAAAGAGAAAGAAATCAGACATCTGGTCATTTGGAAAGCAACAGTACAGAAGAATTTCCGTTGAAACGGACTATATCATCACAACACATTTCTTGCACTGTCAGGAAATAAGCTATTCAACAGACGTGATTGTTCCAAATCGCTCCTGGGTTTTAACACCAAAATCGTTCATCGGAGCACTACAAAAAATGCCTACCATACTTCGTTCAAATTCATTCTCTGTAAACAGTATTTTAAGCCGTGAGTTTTTTACACTTCTTAAAAGGAGTATTTTTAATAATTGTATGTGTCACTTCATAAATAGGTATAGTAATTAAACTGAAAACAATATATTAATAAACTAAGGGGTACTAAATGACATTTCCTTGCAAAAATACGTAAGAGAGGATATAATTGAGAAGAACATGAACATTTATTTACAAATACAGACTTTAGAGGCGCCTGGATGCCTCAGTCGGTTAAGCATCCACCTCTGGCACAGGTCATGATCTCAGAGTCCTAGGATCGAACCCCATGGAGCCCTGCATCAAGCCCCGCATCAGGCTCCCTGCTCAGTGGGGAGTCTGCTTCTCCCTCTCTCCCCCTGCTCGTGCTCTCTCTCTTGCTCACTTGCTCACTCTCTCTCTCAAACTAATAAAATCTTTTTAAAAATCACAAATACAGACTCTAACAGAACACAAGACAGACACAGTAAATTATAAGTGTAACTTAAAATCTTCAGTCAAAATAATATATTTGCAGTAATCAATAATAAGCTAATGAAAATATAGACTGCAATATTTTATACAGAAAGGTAAAAATTACTTATTGATTTTCTTTTGTGCTAATTTTTGAGGAAACTACTTTTATATTGCAAAATAAAAAGCCCATTTAAAATTTTTTCAAACACACAGGTTTGAAAACAAATACTTAGGACATTGATACATAGGCCATCCCAGATATACATAAAAGAAGGTGGTCAGTGAACAGGTGCACAAGACAAGCGCCTAGCACTCAAGAGTAAGCTTCCCCTTCTCTCACTTCCCTCTTCCCCTCTTAGTTTACAGCACAAACCAAGCTAAAATGCTAGCTGAACTTCTCTTTCCACTCCAAAACCATGGCCTAACTTTCTCCACAGCTCATAAACATTTAACTACTGTGACAGTAATTTTATGTATCAATTTGATTGGGCCACAGGGTGCCCAGACATCTGGTCAAACATTATCCTGGGTGTGTCTGCGAGGGTGTTTCCAGATTAGATTAACATCTGAATTGGTACACTAAGTAAAGCAGATTGCCCTCCCCAAGGTCAGTGGTCCTCATCCAGTCCTTTGAAGGCCTGAATAAAACAAAAAGGCTGACAGACCCTCCTGTGAGTAAGACAGAATTTCCTCTCACCTGACTATTTTGAGCTGGGACATGGGTTCTTCCTGCCTTCAGACTCAAACTGAAACATTGGTTCTGCCTGTGTCTCCAGCCTGCCAGTCGTCCAACTGCAACTATACTATCAGCTCTACCGTTGTCTCCAGGAGACTGACCACAGATCTGGAGACTTGTCAGCTTCCAAAATCACATGAGCCATTAGATATAATAAATATCTTTTCCTCCTTCCCTCTCTCTCTCCCTCTCTTGATTCTGTTTCTCTGGAGAACCCTAATACATCTGCCTACTTAGTACACCAAATTCCTGCTAAAAAAAATCAAAAAATATTTTAAAGTAATAATACATAATGATGCCGGTGACAGAGCAAGATTGTCATAAAGCTTGATGTCAGTCTAATTTAAAACCTTTTCAAACAGTCCCTTCATATAACATACATCAAAACTTCAAATCTGTGTATAGGTTTTCACCAGGTAAATTTATTCCCTGGTGAATATATACAGAGGATATAATCAGAACTATAATCAAAGATTTATGTGCTCAGGATATTGGTTGCGATAACATTTATGACAGAGTCAAACAGACACAATGAAATGCTCAGTAACAGGGGAATGATTAAACAAATTATAACTTTCAAAGGGTATGTTGTCACGCAACTAATCCAGATGATATTTTCAAAAAATTACTCTATAATCTGCAGAAATTAACATAATAAAATGCTAACTTTTAAAATGGGGGGAAAACCCCACAATGATCTAGCTAGCTATCTACACTAGAGAGAAAGGCTAAAGTGTGACAAGTCATTATTTCTGAATGGGGAAACGGCAAGTAAAATTTTCTGTATTTTTCACATTTTTTGTAATCAAAATATGTTACCTTTAAAAGAAAAGAAATATAATAGAGGTCTAAGGAATATTATCCAAAATTGTGTTTAAAGAAAATTATCAAATGATAAATATAAGATTCTATGGATAATTATCAATAAAGACAATTTAACAAACAAATCTATAAAAATTATAAGAGCTTTTTGTAATATATTATAAAAGAATCTGAACTTTTAAAAAAATATAAAACTAGCAATGTGTTATAAACTGAATTGTATCCTCCTAAGATTCATGTGTTGAAGCCCTAACAACCAATGTGACTATCTTTGGAAACACGGCATTTGAAAAGGTAATTAAGAGAGAGAGGCAAACCAAAAAGCAGACTCTTAACTACAAGGGAACAAACTGATGGCTACCAGAGCGGGAATGGGTGGGGGGATGGGTGAAATAGGAGATGGGAATGAAGGAGTGCACTTGTTGTGATGACCACAAGGTGATGTATAAAGTGTTGAGTCACTATATTGTACACCTGAGACAAATATTACACTGTATGTTAACTGAAATTTAAATAAAAACTTTAAAAAAATAAAAATAAGGAGGTAATTAAGGTTACATAAAGTCATAAGGGTGGTACTCTAACCCAGTATGACTGGTGTCCTCATAAGAAGAGGAAGAAATATCAGAGAAGTGAACACACAGAGAAAGGGCCACATGAGAACAGAGAGAGAAGGGAGCTATCTGGAAGCCAAGCAAAGAGGCTTCAGGAGAAACCAAATCTGCCAACACCTTGATCTGAGACTTCAGGTTTCAGAACTGTGAAAAAATAAGTTCCTGTTGTTTAAGGTGCTCAGTCTGTGGTATTTTGTTATAGGAGCTCTAGCAAACTAAAGAAGACATAATAAAGTGTCATTATAAAATTTAGTTGGTAAATATTCTTTGTTCTATAATTTATCTTTTCTAGGAAGAAGCAAACCAAGAAATAAGCATTAGGGCGCCTGGGTGGCTCAGTTGGTTAAGCGACTGCCTTCGGCTCAGGTCATGATCCTGGAGTCCCGGGATCGAGTCCCGCATCGGGCTCCCTGCTCAGCGGGGGGTCTGCTTCTCCCTCTCCTGCTCCCCCCTCTTGTGCTCTTTCTCTCTCTCACTCTCTCTCTCAAATAAATAAATAAAATCTTTAAAAAAAAAAAGAAATAAGCATTAAATAACTTGATTCACGGCACAGAAGGGACAAAAAACCATATTTCCAAAATAAAATGTTACTAGCTAGTACCACTACAGAGAAATAAGTACTATGAATAGACGGAAAAACAGCTCTCGGGTTTCTAGTGATAAATGGTCTGCCTAAAAATGCTCAATGACAGAATCTGCATAACACAATACAAAACATCTAAAATTGTTTTGTTTTCAATATCTCCTAGTCCTGAAAATAACATTATATATGTATGTATGTTATCTCTACACATATTACATTCCTACAGAAATAAAACTCAGAACACAATTTCAGTCCTGTAATGACACCTGGCAGTATAACTACAAAGCATTACTCAACATCTTACATTGCTGGTTCAATCTTATCCTTCGAATTACACTTTCTCAATCTTCTGTTTAGCATCTATTAGATTAATACATGAGTTTCTTTTTACCTGAATGAAATTGTAGACACATTTATTTTTTAGAATTTTCAACTACATTTCAGAGGTATATTTTAAAAATAGACCAAGAGACCTTTAGTTTCCAAACCAAATTAAAATTTCAGTTACTGCTCTGATTTTTCAAAATTACCTTGTCTGGATCCATCTTTCCTCTGATAAATTCTTGCTTCCAGAACTGCAATGCCTGTTCCAATGTTAAACCAATGCCCTTCAGGAAGAGGCCATACTGCATCCGGCCTCCATGACGAAGATGGTGATTTTCCCGCAAGGCTTTATGTAACTGACGCATGCAAGGTGGGAAGGATTTGGTAGAAAGCTACAAGAGAAAAGAGTTTTTTGTTATGTGGAAGATTTACCAGGTCGCTCACATTATCTATAGTTGCAAATCCAATCTAATATGCAAGTTGTAAATTCAGTCTTACTAGAATACAAACAAAATCTATAAGGAGGCATTACCTACTACAATTACAAATTGTTCTCTTAATATGTTTATACTGATTACACGTTGAGATGATAGTATTTTGCATATACTGGGTTGAATAAAATATATTACTAAAATGTATTTCACCTATTTATTTTTAAATTTTAATTAAACTTTTTCTTTTGATTTAACTATAGATTCACATGCAGTTGTAAGAAAATAATACAAAGGAATATCATGCACCCAGGTTCCCCCAGAGATAATACCTTGTAAAAATATTATCACAACCAAGAAACTGACACTGATACAATCCACTAGTCTTAGAGCACCTCACCCCCCACTACTCTCTAACACCTGGCAACCACTAATCTGTTCTTCATCTCTATAATTTTGTCAGTTCAAGAGTGTTAGTATAAATTGAATTGTAATGTTTTTTTGTTTTGTCTTTTTAAAGATTTTATTTATTTATTTGTCAGAGAGATAGAGAGCACAAGCAGGGGGAGTAGCAGGCAGAGGGAGAGGGAGAAGCAGGCTCCCCGCTGAGCAGGGAGCCCGATGTGGGACTCGATCCCAGGACCCTGGGATCATGACCTGAGTCAAAGGCAGTCACTTAACCAACTGAGCCACCCAGGCGCCCTAGTATATAACGTTTTAAGATTGGCTTTTTTATTCAGCATAATTCCCACAAAATTCATCTAAGTTGTTGCAGGTATCAATCATTCATTCCTTTTTTATTGCTGAATAATATTCCATGGTAGGGATGTACCACAATTTGCTTAGCTATTCACTTGTTAAAGGAGCTGGGTAGGGGCGCCTGGGTGGTCAGTCATTAAGCGTCTGCCTTCGGCTCAGGTCATGATCCCAGGGTCCTGGGATCGAGCCCCGCATCGGGCTCCTTGCTCAATGGGAAGCCTGCTTCTCCCTCTGCCACTCCTCTGCTTGTGTTCCCTCTCTCGCTGTCAAATAAATAAATAAAATCTTAAAAAAAAAAAAAAAAAAGGAGCTGGGTTGCTTTGAGCTCGGGGCTATTCCAAATAAATGAATGTACAGGTTTTTGTGTGAATATGAAATTTTCATTTCCCTGGGATAAATGTGCAAAAATACAATTGCTGAATCACAGATGAACTTTTAGAATAATCTAAATACAAAGTAGAACACAAAAATAAGAGAAATGGTTCTCAAAAGGTGAATTCAAATAAATGTGTTAAAGAAATCAATAGTAAAAAGAAAAACTTTTTCATTTACGGTTTCAGCTGCATTCTCCCCACTTCCTCAGTATCTTTCTCCCAAGACTTAAAATTCTCACCCCCTCAAGTATCCCTTGGCAAGTTCAGCTTTGCCAAAGCGGGAACAGGGCTCATTTTGCTTGCCTTTGCTGCCCCCTGTAGAGGACATCCAGTGTCTTTAACCTCTCGTATAACAACTTCGAAATTCTTCCATCTCCAACCTAGCCCAGTCAGGCCTCTACTGGGCCAGGACTACTGTTTTCATGCCTTCCTTCTTGTTCCTTCATACTATTACGGTGAATTATTTTTCTTAAACTTTGTTCCAATCCAAAAACACCAATGAAATTTAATATCCTTAGTAAGAACATGCAAGTTTCTGTCAATGTCTGTAACTACTTTTCAACTATATGTAACAGAACAAACAGGTATTGGGTGGTTTGGGAAATGAGAAGATGAATAACATGTAATTTTCCCCTTTAAGTCACTTAAGTGAAATAAAAGGAAACAGTCCCTACTATAGAAGTTAACTCACATAAATCAGTTATAATGGGAGCTTTAACAAAGGCATAAATCAAGTGCCATGGAAGCACTGTGACAGGGAGGGGTAAAAAAGCCCAGTATGCTATTATACCAATATAAACCCTTTGCTCCAGCCAACTGGATTATTCCATGATCACACAATCATGCTTTATACCTTCTCACTTTTGCCACTCCATCGACCCTGCCTGGGATACAACCCCTCCTATTCCCCATGCCATCTAGTCAAAACCAAGCCATTTGTCAAGACCCAGTTCAACTTCAGCTTCTTTTGGCGCAATTCCTTGAATACTTTTTACTCATTCAATCACTAAATATCTACTGAACACTACTCTGTGTACAGCTTTGGGAAACTAGCAGTGAACAAAGAACTTACATTCTAATGGGAGAAGATATACAATTAACACAGACATAAATAAAGGTAACGTCTAATTCCAAAAGCTCCAGAAATAAATAAGAGTTATGGGATTAAGGATAAATAGGAGAGGAATACTTTAATTTAGGTAGCCAGTAAAGCCTCTCTGAGGTGTTGGCATTGCACGAAGATGTATCTTTTAAGGAGGATCCTAGTCAAATGAGATCCAGGAATACTGTTCCGGGTAAAGGAAACAAAAGCAAAGCCCTTGAGAGGCAATGAACATGGTGTGCTCAAGAGACAGCAAGAAGGTCCAAGTGGCTGGAATATGTGAGCAGACCAGAACAGAGAAGAAAAAGTTAGAATCATGAGTGCACAGGGCATTATAGGCCCTAGTTGTGAGTTTGGGTTTTAGTCTAGATGTGATGGAAACTCCATAGAGGGTATGGATCAGAAGACTGACATGATCTGATAAACAAAGAGAACTCTGGCTGTTGTATAGTGAACAGACTATATATAGAGAAGCAAGGAAGATACTCAAAAGAGACTTTAGAAGAAGTCGAAATAATGGAAATGGAAAACATAGGGTCTAGGGTTGGCAACAACGGGATAGAAAAATAGTTGTGGATACTGAACCGACAAAGGAATTATAAGACCAGGGTAGGGATGAATTACCAACATGGATACTGCAGAGGCCAGGAACAGTAACAGAGTAGTGCTAGTGCAGGAGACCATGCCAGGGTGCTAGAGTCACCAGTGGATGAAGGCAGGAGGTGGGGGCACCAGCAACAAGGATAACTATCAGGTGGTATAATGGGATTACAGGGCTTTAAAGGAGCTGGAGCTCTGCCAAAGGAATGCAGAGAAATGATTTGGAAATGGTAATATGGACCAAGGAAGACATTCATCTCATACCAAATTAAGATGGGGGAGGGACGGGGGAGGGGGGACAGCCTCTACTTGAGAGGGCCACAAGAGAAACAGTGTCACTGAGGGAGCCAGATTTCAGTTAGAAGAAAAATCTTAAAAAAAAAAAAAAATTTTTTTTTTGAAGAAACTGAGGATATCAAGGCATATGCTAATGAATGAGGCACTACAGTTAGGAAGAGGTCAGATAAAGATGTATCTTTATCAATTTAGCACAGGGTCTCACACAGAGACCTACAGATAGGATCATCATAGCAACTTAAGATAATTTATCATTACACTGCTTATTTATTATTTACTATGTTGTCTACCTCCCTCAAGTAAGGTCCACGAAGGTAGAGGAATTTTCTGTTTTATTCACCTCTGTATCCACAGCACAGTGGCATAGTTGCTTATGAATGGGAAAACATCTTGATAGAATTAGGAACAGAATTAACTTCTAACCATTCATATAATATAAACACAAATCCTATGGCAGGGAGAAAGTATTAGAGATAATAACTGTTTGAGAAAAGTAAAGGATGGGGCATCCTCAAGAACAAATTCAATTCAACTATACAAAGTGGGCAATCCTATTGTTATTTCTAAGCATATTAACTGCAAGTACTTGATTATAATTTTTCCAAACAGGAAGACAACCTATTCATTCTGGTCTCTAAAAACTCCTGGTCTCTCCCTACTCACCTTATTCTTGTTTCTAAGCATTAAAATGTCAGTGTATTTTTAATTTATTGTAAATAATTTGGTAACTGTCTAAACAAAGATTATTTATGGCTGGTGTAGTTTCCCTTTTTGGGACAGAGCAGAAATTCTACAATGCATTAAAGAGAAACTCTATAAATTATAGTAAAGTATGCTACTCTTTCCTTCTACTACAGAACAACAAAGCGAAGTTGAAATGAGCTGTTCATTAATCTAGTGGCAACACAAGCAAAGAGCCTATACTTAGTGTCATGAAATAAACTATAATCTCCCAAAATTCATATGCTGAAGTCTTAACCCCCATGACCTCAGAATGTGACTGTAGTTGGAGGTGGGGTCTTTAAAGAGGTAATTAAAGTTAAATGAGGTCATAGGGGTGGGGCCCTAGTCCAATGTGACTGGTATCCTAGGAAGAGGAAGAGACACCAGGGATGCACGAGCATACTGGAAAGACCACGGGAGAACACAGGAGAAGATGGCCATCTAAAAGCCAAGGAAAGAGGCCTCAGATGTGCCAACACCTTCATGTCAGAATACTAGCCTCCAGACCTGTGTGAAAATAAATTTCTGCTTTCGAAGGCATCAGTCTGTAGTATTTTGTTATGGCAGTCCTAGCAAATTGATACACATAGTATTTTCCATTTCTCCTTTTCTCAATGTGTAAGGTTGGTAGGTAGGTAGGTGGGTAGGTAGATAGGTGGGCATTCATTCATTCATTCACTGACTCATTCAATCAATTTATTTTAAAGTTTATATATTTAAGTAATCTCTGCACCCAATGTGGGGCTTAAACTCATGACCCTGAGATCAAGAGTCACATGCTCTTCCAACTGAGCCAGCCAGGTGCCACTCAATGTATAAAGCATTTAAATATAAACGCACAAACACTATTTAGCTATCATCAATTAAAATAATTCCCCTTTGAAATAACTGATTAAATTCTGTTTATCAGGGGCACCTGTGTGGCTCGGTCAGTTAAGCATCTGACTCTTGGTTTCAGCTCAGGTCATGATCTCAGGGTCGTGAGAACAAGCCCCCCCATCAGCTCTGCACTGGGCTTGGAGAGCCTGCTTCAGATTTTCTCTCTGCCTCTCCCTCTGCCCCTCCCATGCTTCCCCCTCTTAAAAAAAAAAAAAAAATCTGCTTATCAGAATACAAATAATTTTCTGATTAAGTTTGGTTTTCCTATGACTAAAAAAAATAAATATGTGTAGCACATAGGATCTCCTTTAAAAATGGTTAGCAAGCAATGAAATGACAATCTCTCCCATCTTCTCACCCCAAAATAATCTCTGAAGAAAAATCTGTGCTTCCTCATTGACAAAGGTCTAAGTTTTATTAAAAGGATGCAATGCTTACTGAATCAATCTGGTCTAAAGAAATCTTCCCAGCATTCTTCTGTGTGCTGTAATCTTGACCAGTGTAAGAATGACTAAAATAAAAAGAAGAAAACATTAAAATAGGATTTGTACAATATATTTTAATAACTTCAAAGGAAATTTATTCTGATACAGATTAAAATCACAGTAAGACATTTTACATATAAATCTTAGCAGAAACATAGCCAAGTGTTTTAGAGGTATTTAATAGAATATATTTAAATAACTTACCCAAAAATAATACAAAAATATAGTGACTGTCTGGATCTCCTGATTCCCAGCGTAACATTCCATTTCTTAGAAGCATAATGCAAACTGTTGTTAAAGTTCAACTCTCTACTACTGATCCCTTATTAACAGCATGGCAGCACAGCAAAAAATAAACTGGAGCTTAAATGAGGAACCATCACTTACTAGCATAGGTCCTTCAGCAAGTTCTGCAGACTCTCTATATCCCAAGTTCCTTATCTGTCAAATGGAGACAATAATACCTGTTTTGCAGTGTTGACAAGAAGTCTAAACTGAAATAATTTTTTTTTTTTTTTTTTTTAAAGATTTTATTTATTTATATGACAGAGAGAGACAGCGAGAACAGGAACACAAGCAGGGGGAGTGGGAGAGGGAGAAGCAGGCTTCCCGCTGAGCAGGGAGCCCGATGTGGGACTCGATCCCAGGACCCTGGGATCATGACCTGAGCCGAAGGCAGACGCTTAACGACTGAGCCGCCCAGGCGCCCTCTTTTTCTTTTTTAAGATTATTTGGGAGAGAGCGAGCACATGTGCACACAGGGGAGGGGCAGAAGGAGAAAGTGAATCTCAAGCAGACTCTGCCCTGAGCACAGAGCCCAACTCAGGGCTGGATCTCATGACCATGAGATCATGGTCTGAGCCAAAATCAAGAGTCCAACGTTTAACCAAGTGCGCCAAACAGGCACCCCGAACTAATTTCTGTTCAATGACCTGACATGTGGTAATCACTGTTTATTTAAACAAGTAATATCTGAATAGCACTTTACAAGGGTAAAGAGTCCTTATCTATATCCTCTAATTACATCCTCGTGACAACCCTGAGAGAGTTTTTATTTTACATTTGACAAATGAGGAAATGGGGGCTCAGAGGAGTTAGAAACTTGTTAGATCAGAAAGCAAGTCAGCAGCGCAGTAGGAACTAAAACTTTTAATTCTCCCTTCCCTGTTGCTTCACTATACCATGCCATCCTCTTCCCTCAATACATTTCCTGCATTATTTACAAATTAGGAAATACAAGGTGGTATATACTATCTAAAGCCATCTACCATTGTAAATTATCAGTTCCTTGACAAAATGCCCAACTCCATCAACCCTGATTCAGATGCAGACATTCAGGTATGACATAACGAAAAACAGCTGCTAGATTACATAGAAAACCACAATCAAACCAAGGTTTATGCAGATCCACAACTAAAGGAAAATTCTGGAGTAAAGCATCATTACCATCATAAAGAATTCCAGACTCTCTGCTTAATACCTGCTCAGTACAGATTCTTGCTGAACAATACACACACTCAAGATGCTCTTTAGAAAGGCTACAGTTCTTTCAATCAGTCCATCTGCTGATTAAACAATGGGTATGAATTATGAAGCAAAACTAGAGTATATCTTGGGATGCTGCAGCCACTGGTTAGGAGATGGTTCAAAATGTAGATTTTTCCCTCCCGAGAGTCCTCCCTCCATGGGCTAAGAATGGCCCGAGAATTACTCTGAGAGCATGATGAACAGAACGCCAAAGAGTAGTACAGAATGATCCTACGCCCCAAAACATATCTTTTTGCCTTTGCTTTTCTCCCTTCACATACTTCTGACATATTTCTGACAATTAATGTATCACTGGATTCCATCCATTCTGTTTATCATAGTAGCAGCAAGGCATACAAAACTCATGCTAAATTAAGCCAACAGTTGTCATTTAGTGTAAGTATTTTGCATTTTAATATAGAGTCTAACCAGAGACTTGTTTCAGCGGAATTCCTAGAACAAAGACATCTTACAGTAGAGCAAAGAGGCAGCATGAGACAATGAAAATAGCAGTAGGCTAGAATCTGAAGATCCATTCTTGTTTTTGTTTTTGAATCACTAGTTTGGCAAACTGAGGCAAGTCATTTACCTGTCCTGATTTGCACTAGCCTCATTTGTAAACTGGAATTAATGATGCCAGCCCTGCCTAACTGACAGAAATGCTGGAGAAATGAAACGATACATTCAAAGTGCTAAAGAAAATCAGTAAATCATATCCCAGTCCACAGAGCAACTGTAGTCTTGGCCAGGAAGTACAAAAAAGGACGGGAAACGAGGCAACAGGATCCTGTGGAGGAGCCATCACCGCTGTGAAGGACTAGGCCACTCTGCTGACCCTCTGCTGACCCAGCTTCTCGGGCTACAGATTGATCACAATCATCTAAAGGTATTGTTTAGATCAAAAAGGTTAACAAATACAAGTGTCCTCTATAAATAGTAACAGGATGTACAAACATGAGTATAGTTATTGAGTACACAGAGCCAAATGATATACTATACCACAGGAAAGGTTTTCTCGGTCCAGATTATTGCAGGACACTTAAGTACAAAGAGAAGACATTTAAGAGGACACATACACTTGCCTGAATGGCACTACAAAATGCCCGTCCCTCAATACTTTGATGGGCTATGCAAAAGAGCTAAATTCCAAGTGGGGGGGGAGTTAAAGAGAATGGTAGCGATGATTAATGCAAAGGCCTACTGTAGGATATAAATAACTAGACAGAATATAAGGAAATTGTATATAGACAATCATACTTCTAAAAATATTATTAATAGAGAGATGGCCACCAGCCAACCCAGTAAGGGCAAGCATGAAACCCATGGGAGGAAAAATGATGCAAATGAAGATGTTAAGCATCAGAATTAGGACTGAGATTTCTCCTCTGCTCATTCATGACCAGAAGGGGCAACCTATGTCTCGGTTAGGGAGTTGGTACATCACAGCTATTTAATACATGTTTGAACTAGGAATGGATAGATGAAACTGAGGTGGCAGGAATTCTCAGATACAATACAAAGAAGGCAAATCACGAGAAGCATTGTATTCAACACCATGTAAGCAATAAAGAATTATGAAAAGATTTTAGGCAAGAATTTACATAAGTATTTACACTTGAGAAAGCAAGCAGTGTGGAGAATGACTAAAAAGGGTAGGGACTAGGCAAGAGCAAGTCAGTCGGAAGAATATTGCAATATTACAAGCAAGAAAGGATGAGAGGCTGAAGTAAAGGAGTGGCAACAGGTGGAGAAAGGAAGGCAAAGAAAGAAGAAAAAGAAACAAATAATGCCACCGTAACGAATAAAAATCCTTAAGAACAATTCACATTAGCCCATGAAACTGGATCTTTGGCTTTTACTTGAAGTGTCAAGGGACATTACTAAATGAGACTCCTCTAAGGTCTCCAGGAAAGGTGAGGCACCTTTCTACCACATTCAAGGCTCATGTCAGCTTTATATCATCCTACTTCCAAATGAATGCAGCTGCTACATGAATGAACAAAAATATAAATAATGAACTGTCAAAATATATTCTTATTTTCATGATTTAAAAAAATAGATCAATTTTATGAACACTTTTCAATCACTGTATTGGGGAAACACAGGAATAGTAATTTTTAACAACAAAAACAATTTCCAATTGGTTTGAGGTACGTGCACGCAGACGCACGCACACACACACAACAGAAAATTTTCTATTTTAAATAATCACGGCTTTATTGTGAGAAACACTCACTGTCACTTATGTACAATTTTCAACAAAGGGGATTAAGTAGGCATGAAAGCTTTCCTGTTTCTAAGCTTTCATAAAAGAATAAATTAAGATGTACCACAAATACCTTTTTTTTTCAATACAGCCAACCAAAACATTTTAACGGGCCACAAAATTCAAATTATGTCACTAGTAACTATTTTGTGAAATATAAAGAAGAACTTCTGATCAGAGAATCTTGAAAAATCAAGATTTGACTTAATTTTTGGTGGTAAGGGAGTAGGAATTGCAGTGATTTCCCTGCATCTTCCATGTATAATTTATCTTTTATTTGCTACAGTATCAAATCAAAGACACTAAGGGTGAAATGTTACAGTTTTCTCAAGTTACCAAAAAGCCAGTAGTGAAAACAATAAAGATGTGATTCAATGAGTATTCAATTACATTAGAACACTATCTGAACACATTCAGCTGTATAAGGATATAATGCACTTCTCCTGAAATGTAACAATTACTACACTATACTTGCAAAATAAACTTCACTACCCAGCAGAACCACGTGAACGGATAAAACCCAATGACAAAGTTTAGTTTTTATCAGACTCTCTGTAACAGACTTCTTCCACATCCCAGTCGTTGTCCTCATCGAATTCTAATTACCAAAAACGAAACAAAACTCAAAACAAACAAAAAAAACCCCAAAACTTTTAAGAGTCCCTTTAGCCACTCAATCATTTATTAAGGATTTCTGTGACCGAGGAAGAGTCAAATAGTAGTAAAGGATCCAGAGATGATCTAGAAAGTACAATGTGATGAGTGCCACAATACGCTCAAAACAGACGTTCCTGAAGCCTGCAGAAAACAGGTCTCTTGTAAAAGGGAAGGAAGAGAAATAAGCAGTGTGCAGCAGGTAAAGCTTCTTGAGCAATGAAATGGCACTGACAGAGTTCTGTGCGTTGGAAACACAGACCTGAGCAACCAGGAGGGAAGGCTGAGATGAGAGGAAGACAATCGTGAGAATGAGAGATTGCAGAATAAGTGGAAGAGCAGGAAATTATAGTCAGAAAATAATTTGAGGGGCACCTGGGTGGCTCAGTTGGTTAAGCATCTGCCTTCGGCTCAGGTCATGATCCCAGAGTCCTGGGATCGAGTCCCACATAGGGCTCCTTGCTCAGCACGGAGCCTGCCTCTCCCTCTGCCTGCCACTCCCCCTGCTTGTGCTGCTTGCTCTCGTGCTCTCTCTGACAAAAAAATAAAATCTTTAAAAAAAATAGTAATTTGAGTTTGGACACTTAGAAGTAGGATGTCATGACCACAGAAAAGGCAAAGGCCTAGTCGTTTTAGTATTTTTATCATGTGCATGCAGTTTAACATTTTATATGCATTAAACCATCCTTAAATTTTGACCAAGTTCATAGATGTATGTGATGTGAATTTATTAAGGTTCTTGGAGGGTTTTAAAAGCAAGCATGTGATAAGGAGGTGGCATTTTGGACTAAAAAAGAAAGTCTATTTTTCTCAGGATCTGGAGGGTGAGTCGATGGGCAAGCAGAAAGAGATAAGTAAAACCAAGGAAATTTCTAAAACACAGTTTATAGATGAGGAAGTTGGGTCATGTGGTAGAAAAGACAAGCAGAGGCAAAGCAGGAAAAAAAACCTGAAATTGGGTAGGTAGGTCCT